CCCCTCTCCCTGCCCCCCACTGCCTCTACTCCCCCACCCCACACCCCATTCCTTCCCTGCCTCCCTACGTCTCTACTCTCCTCCCTGCTCCCCACTGCCTCTACTCCCCTACCCCGCCCCACACCCCATTCCTTCCCTGCCTCCCTACATCTCTACTCCCCTCCCTGCTCCCCACTGCTTCTACTCCCCCACCCTGCCCCACACCCCATTCCTTCCCTGCTCCCTAGCTCGGTTCTCTCCCCTCCCTGCCCCCCTGCATCTCTACTCCCCACCCCCTCCCTGTTCCCACAGCCCTTCTCTGCCCCACCACTCTGGTCTCAGCCCCCTGCTCCCCACACCCCCTTGCCTTTTTCCTCCCCCACCCCAGCTGGCTACTCTCCATTTCGTGCCCCCTTGCCTTCTCTCTCTGCCCCCCTCACGCAGTCCCACACAACCCCCACCCCTCCCCTCGTGGCCCCCTGCTCCCAGCCCCCGTCTCCTTCTCTCCCTGCCCCCCACTCCCCAATCTCCTTACCATCCTCCCCCCACACCCTGCCCCTCCCCCACCCTCTCTCCTCCCCCCCATACCCCACAGATCCATTGCTCGATGCCCATCTCTCTCCCCCCCCCGCCCAGATTGCACTGGCTGCCCCCAGCTGAGCGGGGGGCTGATCGCGGGGCTGGTCGTGGGGGACCTGCTGCTGACGCTGCTCATCGCTGTGGCTGTCTACTGCCTGGCCGGCAAGATCCACCTCTCGCGGGGGAGCGCACAGGGTACGGCACCGGGGAGCACGCTGGGGCCGGGGGGGGCACAGGGGGTAGGGGTCATACAGGGAACGGGGGGCACCCAGGGGATGGCATAGGGGAGAAATTGAGGGGCAGCCAGGAGGTGGAGCAGGGGAAGAGGTGGCGGTGCACAGGGGATGGGGTTGGGGGTCATACAAGGAATGGGGGGCACCCAGGGGATGGGGCGGAGAGGAATTGGGGGTGCACAGGGGATGGGGTTGGGGGTCATACAGGGAACGGGGGGCACCCAGGGGATGGGATGGGGTGGAATTTGGGGGTGCACAGGGTATGGGATTGGGGGTCATACAAGGAATGGGGGGCACCCAGGGGATGGGGCAGGGGAGGAATTGGGGGTGCACAGGGTATGGGGTTGGGGGTCCTACAGGGAACGGGGGTCGCCCAGGGGATGGGGCATGGGAGGAATTGGGGTGCACAGCGGATGGGGTTGGGGGTCATACAGGGAACAGGGGGCACCCAGGGGATGAGGCGGGGAAAGGATCGGGGCCAGCCAGGGGATGGAGTTGGGGAGGGAGCCAGGGACACCTGGGAAAACGGGGGGCTTCCAGCGAGAAGGGTTGAGTGCATGGGAGGGAGTGTCTCTGCTGCCACCTGCTGGCAGGATGGGCCCTGCTCTCCGTGTGTCCGTCTGTCCCTGATCACCCCCTGCACGCACAGACAGACGTTTATTTCTTTCCCCCCAGGGGAGGCCAAGAAGCCCGCCGCCCCTGAGACGGAGTCGCCGTACCAGGTGAGCATGACCTGCTGTTTCCACTGGCCCCAGCCCCTCTACCCCACAATATATCACGACCGGGGTTGTCTCAGCCGTGTGTCAGGGCCCTGCACTGCCCAGAGTGCCTGGGGATTTGCCCTCAGTTACAGCCACTAGTTGGCAGGGATCTCGGCTCCTGACTGCCACTAACGATCCTTAGCACCATCACTTACCCTCCCAGAACCTGCGCAGGGAGGGGGCAGGGAAAATAGCATTAGCCCTGTTTGATATGATGGGGAAACCAAGGCACAGATCAGGATGTGATTTGAATTGGTTGCAGAGTAGGGGGATAGAACCCAGGAGTCCTGGCTCCCAGTCCCCCTGCTCTAACCACTAGACTCCACTGCCCTCGCTGGGGTAGAACCTAGGAGTCCTGTGTCCCAGAAGCCCTCTCTGACGCTCTCCGTTTCTCCTCTTGTAGGAGCTCCAGGGTCAGAGGATGGATATTTATAGTGACCTGAAGAAATCGGGAGCCAATTATTAATGCCCCCTCTCCGTCCCACGCCCGCTCTGCACCCAAGCGGCTGGTGCCAGCGTGTCAAATCCATGCAGCCTTCATTGTTTATCTCCATGCCACCCGCTCTGAGCACCGTTCCGTGCAAACTTGCAGCCCCCCTAAATCTGCAGCATTGATCCCACCCCGCATAGGTGCTGACTCCGTGGGTGCTCCGGGGCTGGAGCACCAATGGGGAAAAATTCCCCACCGCAGCTCACCTCCGCCTCCTCCCCTGAGCACCCCGCCGTGTCCTTCTTCTCCCTCCTCCCTCCCAGCGCTTGTGCCGCGAAACAGCTGTTTCGCGTGGCAAGCATTGGGAGGGAGGGGGGAGGAGGAGGAATGCGCCACGTTCAGGGAAGAGAAGAAACCGGGGTGGGGAATTGGGGAGGGGCCAATAGGGGCATGGAGGGGGCGGAGTCGGGGCGGGGCCGGGGCAGGGGGGCGTGAGCACCCACCGGCGCCAAGGAAAGTTCTTCGGAGATGCATTTCCTCTCTGCTGGACTCGTTTAATCTCTAGTTCAAGTGCCCTGCTTGTGTCTGGGTGAGGGGGTTACAAAGACCCCGACCCTGGTCCCTGGTTGTGGTTTTGCGATCTTAACAAAGTTTTTTGACTGGGAATTTCCTTCCTTGCTGTTTTTCTCCTCAACGTTATTGGTACAATTTCAGCTTTAACAAAGTCTTTTCGCCGGGAATTTTCTTAGTCGTTTTTCCTTCATCAAAGTTATTGGTACAATTTCAACTTGTTTTTTTTCCGTTAAAGTTCTTGGGCTGATGTTAACAACATTTTTTGGCTGAAAATTTCCAAAGTTGCTTTTTTGCCTTATTGAAATTCTTTGTCCTGTTTCTATTTAAATGAAATTTTTAGCTTGTGAATTATCATAGTTTTTCTCTATTCCATCCCTGTTGCTATTACTAGCCCTATGTCAGTGTTTAAGTTTTTGTGACTGGGAGGTTTCTTGGTTGCCGTTTTTTCCTGGTTAAAGCTGTTGGTACAATGTCCACATTAACAAAGTTTTTTCGACCGGGAATTTCTCAAATGTGTTATTTTTGTTCGTGTTGAAGTGCTTGGTACGATTTCAAGTTTAATAAAGCTTATTTGCTGAGAGTTTCCTCTGAGGCAGATGCATCTGTTGACAGAACAAGGAGCAATGGTCTCAAGTTGCAGTGGGGGAGGTTTAGGTTGGATATTAGGAAACATTATTTCACTAGGAGGGTGGTGAAGCACTGGAATGGGTTCCACCTGGTGGAATCTCCTTCCTTAGAGGTTTTTAAGGCCCGGCTTGACAGAGCCCCGGCTGGGATGATTTAGTTGGGGTCAGTCCTGCTGCTTTGAGCAGGGGGTTGGACTAGATACCTCCTGAGGTCTCTTCCAACCCTGAGATTCTATGATTCTATCTCAGCACCTGGTGAGCCATCACTATGAGGCGTTATGTGCAGCTGTTATCCCGCTGCCTCGCCCCAGAGGTGGCTACATCTCAGCACCGAGTGAGTCATGCCTGTAGCTAAGATCTCTAAAGTGCTGGCGCCCCCTAGAGAGGAAAACCCCCATGTTCCATTCCCTGCACCCCTAAGCTAGCCAGACCCAAACCCTAGCCCTGGGACTGGATGGGAGCCGGTGCCTCCAGAGGGGAAAGACCCGGTGTCCCATTCCCCACCCCCCTGAGAGCCAGCCAGTTGCCAGTTGCCGCCCTAGGGCTGGATTGGAGCCAGCAACCCCTAGAGGGGCACTGAGCAGCAGAGAACAGGGTGGGGGCTCAGTAGGGGGCGCCGTGCTGCAGGGAGTCACAATAAAGCACCACTGGAGTCAAAATAAACAGGCCCCACTTGTTTTAATGGGAAAGATGAAGAGAAGCAGTTAGGTGGCTTATAGCTCCAAATCCTTTGACGCTTGGGGCTGATGGGGGTTGGGTGGGGGCAGACGGGGGTGTCTTCTATTTCCTCCCCCCTTCCCTGGGGGTGGCTGGGTAGCACCCCCAAAAGTTGGCCCTCCCTCAGCATTAGCCCAGAAGCTCACTGGCTCCCTTTCATTGCCCCCCAATGTCAGCCCCCACCAGCTTCCCCCCTGCCTAGATCTCGGGTGTCCCTCTGGCAATTGGGGTGTTTCCCTCACGGATCCATCCCTTCCCCTGCTAGGAATGGAGCTAAATTCTGCACCCCCTGAACTGGTCCCAGAGTCCCCTCCTCCAGGGCTCAGCCCCCCCAGACTACAACCCCCCAAAAGGGGAATGTGCGCCCCCAAAACGACTGCCTTTACATTCACCCCCGAACTGGGGAAAGCCCTTAGGATTGGCCATGAAACTGGGAACCCCCAGCAACACCCAAACTGGGGCTAGGGCATGTGATTGTCACCAAACAGCAGGGGGCACTGGGGAGCCAAGAGTCCACCTGACCACCCCAAATCCCTGACCACATCAGCCTCCCAAGCCAGCGCCCCCTAGAGGGGAAAGGCCCTGTGTCCCATTCCCCCCCCCCCGCCCCCAAGCCAGCCAGTCCCCGATCTGGGGCTGGATTGGAGTCAGCACTCCCTAGAGGGGAAAGCCCCCGTGTCCCATTTCTCCCCCCCCACCCCCGAGCCAGCCAGTCCCCCGACCTGGGGCTGGATTGGAGCCAGCGCCGCCCAGAGGGGAAAGGCCCCATGTCCCATTCTCCACCTCTGTGGGCCAGCCAGTCCGCACCCTGGGGCCAGATTGGAGCCTCCTAGAGGGGAAAGACACCATGTCCCATGTGTTGGGGCAAGGAAGTGCTGGTATCTGCGGAGAATGTCGATCTCCCGGTGGCGAGGATGGTGTGTGCAGTGGGATCAGCTAGGTACTGGAGGGGGGGGGGAGGGTCAGTTGACTCTTCCAGGCATGTTCATATAAACCTTCTGGTCTTCTACAGAGAGAGACAAGCAAAGAGCTTCCGTTAGCAAACAGCCAGTCTGATTCGGGAGGCGGGGAAATGGCAGTGGGGCAGGGGGTGGGGATCCCGGCAACAGGAGAGGGGGTGGCATGGGGGGATCCAGTGAGGCAGGGGGTGATGTGGGGCACACAGGCTGGTGGGGATCCCAGCAGTGGGGGAGAAGGCAATAGGCCTGGCAGTGGGGGTGGGGAGGGGGTGGCACGGGGGGGGAATCCTGGCAGAGGCAGTGGGGGAGGTGGTGGCATGGTGGGATCCCAGCAGTGGGGGAGGAGGCAGTAGGCTGGGGGGATCCCAGCAGTGGGGGAGGGAGTGGCATGGTGGGATCCCAGCAGTGGGGGAGGGATTGGGGGTTCTCCGCCCCCCCCCACTCACCGCTGTTGCCCGTGGGTTTGCCGCAGCGCTTGGTGCAGTGATACACCCCAGCGATGAGGAACAGGGTGAAGATGAGGTCGCCGATCACCACGCCGACGATGACGGGTGTCTGGATCTGGTAGCAATCCCCACACGGCCCTGCAGGAGAGCGGCTGTGAGCCCCATAACACAGCGCGGGATTAGGGGCACCGGGCTGCAGGGAACAGGGTGAGGGCTAAGCAGGGGGCGCTGTGCTGCAGGGAACAGGGTGAGGGCTCAGCAGGGGGCGCTGTGCTGCGGGGAGCGGGGGGGCTCGAGCAGGGGGCGCGTGTGCTGCGGGGAGCCGGGGGGGGGGCTCGAGCAGGGGGCGCTGTGCTGCGGGGAGCGGGGGGGCTCGAGCATGGGGGCGCTGTGCTGCGGGGAGCCGGGGGGGGGGCTCAGCAGGGGGGCGCTGTGCTGCGGGGAGCGGGGGG